TCAGTATATACAGAATCAAGCTCTTCCACAGTATCCTATACCATAGTAAGCTTGATTGTACTCAGAAGAGATCAGCGTCATTCCAGACTTACCGCCTTGATTATATCGTGAGATGTCTCGTCTGCTAAAACGTTAGGATTTAGCGGCGAAGACATCTTAGTAGAGCTAAAGCAAGGTGCAATACACAACAAAGTCACAAACTAGAGTTCAATACTGAAGATTAGAGCGCCTGCAGGGAAAGTCGGCTGAAGGTTTGATAGTCAACAAATCTAATAGTATTAAAATGATCAGTACCTTAAGGCAATAGCGTCTCATGCAACCCTTACTGTTGGAGGCCGTAGGTCACCATCATACTTTCCTCCAAGTCACTTAATGAGATCACCCCTGAGTGGCTATGCTAGCACCGACTCTATAGGGAGTGGAGGACTTAAGAGGCCATTTAGCACCACAGTGTCGGCGTCTTGCCGGAGATTCGAACGGATGCCGAAGACCTATGTACACCTAAATATACAACTGTAAAGTCAGGATGAAGGATTGGCCGCCAGAACCTCTAGAACACATATACAAGAAGACAACAGATAAGGCAGAAACCAACCGACCAATCCATCATAATCCACACACGACACTCTATCATCCAGACGGAAAGAACATAATGACTAGCGAAGGAACCACCCCCGACTACTCAAGTAACGAAAGCTCTAGTACATGGGAAGGGGTTGCTCAACCCCTTCTAGTCGAGCCACCGCTGACAAAATATACTCCATATACGTCAAAGAATACATACTATTACTCAACATAGAAATAATACATATCTACCTCATACAGCCGCATTTCAGCATCGTCATCACAAGATCCACTAACAAGGAGGTACATTCTCCTACTCTATTAGGAAAGAGAACGTACCTCTACATTGCCAAGTAGCATCTCGTTCCACCAGGATTGTCCAGTTAGACCCTAAAGACGATACATACCAATGCCTAATACAGAAGGAATACATACCTTATAATCCCAGCGTCACCTCAAGGAACCACGCTCATTCTCCACTAGATTCTCAACTTCTTTCACCTCATCCCTCATTACTTTCAAAATAGAACCGACTATATTCACTCAACCATCGACTCATTAAATCATAATACTCAACAATCGATTCTTCAAGCTGAAGCACTCGTCAGCCTCCAGTGGCCACAGGCCAGTGAGGCGATTTACCGATCTCCATCTTCGTTTCAAGCCATACACGTCCCATCCTCATCATGATCCATCTCAGAGTACCGGTACTAACGAAAGAGAAATTTGAGGACGCCATCTAGAAATTCTGTTCCAAACTAAGGGAAGCTACCCTAACAACCACTCTGCTCAAACTCTGGTACGTCTCGAACAGCCATAGGCTCAAAGCCTCCAGAAAGAGCAAGACCAATCAACCAAAGAGAGCCAACACCCGAGTCCATCAATAACGCAAGACACAACAGCAGCACCCCAGACTATGTCAAAGGACTAGACTACAGAGACTACATACAATGAAATCCAAAATCCATATTCCAGAGAGGCAGACGTCGGCAGGCTGGACTAGGGTGACCTATTTGCAGGAGATAAAGCCGACGCTGTTTCTAGGAATTTCTGATCTTGCCCTAAGTCGGTATCAGACGACTGAGTCACTTGGTTAGTATGCTAGAATCCTTTGCCATCGGATGAAATTTTTAAGGAGGCCAATCCCTGGGTATGTGCTGAGGACCCAAAGGAAATTGGAGATTTAGATTACCCAAGCTCTCCTCAAAATGGCCATGTAACGAACAAGGGTCAACAGCGGCACCAGCTTATCGAAAACATTGTCCATTTAGATTAGGCTGAGAATGTAATCACCGTTCCATACAGAGACATCTGATGGATACGAGGCACTAGGAGTCGAATCGTTGATTAGGCCGACGAGCCAATCTTGACAAACATCATCTCCGTCTCAAGTAGTGACAACAAACAATACAAACCAATCTAATATCGTATGGGACAACCATAAAGAAGCTTGCTATCCGGAACCCAAGAAGTCCCATTTGTTATTCTAGTGACCCTGTTCGCTGACCGCTCACTAGAACCACTGATGTATGGTCACTAAGGATTATAGTTTCCTTGTTTTCAATCTTGTATACAGTCCTACGATCTGAAAGGCGTTTGGTGCTTACGGTAACGTTTCCCAAAAGGATGAATACTATATAAGGTGCCGAGATAGAGACTTTGGTGGCGGCGAGAGTGCTTTGCACCTCTCCTTCTCCTCTTACGCCAAGCTATACACTATTAGGACCATCTCTTTGCTAGAATTTGGTTTATTGTACATGATCGAGGATGAGCCTGACTATTTTGTCATCTGGGCGCCTCAGCTTTGCCTACAGCTCCTCCTTCTCTTCTGGAGTCTTGGCGGCATGTCTGGTGACAGGCATCGGTCTCGACGACACGTTCGTGGATCGATGACGTTGTGAATGAAGACAGTCGGCGATTCGCTCGGATGCGGCCGTTTCTCATGCTACACTTGTTGGTCGGCTGTGCAGCTTACTGGGCGTCGTTGATTTGCTTCCAGGCTTCGTTGTCTGTTGAGAACTGAGCTCTTCCCGTCTTACTAAGCTTAGTTTTTCGGGGAGTTTAGAGGGGCTGGGCTAGCGGGTTGGGACGTACTTACGCGACTGTGGATCGGCCACACTCATGTCCCTCGACGAATGCTCCTCCCAGCACCATTGTATTTCATATGTCAATAGCTGCGCTTCGGTTGCACATCATTCTCAGACTGTTGTCTCATCTCTGCCACTGCTTGGTTGCTCCATACTAGGTGAGTTCTTGTAGATTTCCCCAAAATGTATGTAGAGACGGCAATAGAATTAGTTAGAAATGGGTCTTCTTAAAAGAGGCGTTGTGGGGATACCAGCTAAAGAGTGTGGCACTTGGAGAACTCTGTGACAGCATGGGATCACAGCTAATAGACTTGAGCCTGCGTGCTCGGGTTTCTAACCAATGATCAAATTAGCTGCCTCAAAAGGAGTGTGTCAAGATCTCACATAGCTGTGCTGTCTAGACTTGTTTAGTATTTTTGTCAAGGACTCACAGCTTTGTGGTTAGCTTAGCTCATTTCAATAAGGTGGACCAATTTCTTTGGGTGTCTCTCTAGACAAATAACACTTAACGTCTTTTGGTATATGGTTGGTATTAGTTCTAAATCTTTTCATGCTCAAATAATTTAAGGCATCTACGAAGAAGGCTTAAGTGCTTAGCCGAGTATGATTACCAAACGCGATCGGGTACGTTACGAAACTCTAGGGTTCCGCTAGCACCTTCGAGTCCATCTGGGCTTCGCGAAGGATATCTTTCATTGAGGCATATAGTCCTGGCTCTGACTTTTTCCATCTTTCACCTTTTGGGAAAACCTTCCTTCTCAGTCTATTCACCCATGGGACCAATGCCTGGTAGTAGACAGTGAAGTTCTCCTCTATAATCTTCAGAAAATCCTCTTCATCATCAATGACTCCCTTCTTAGAGCTTGCCAACTCCTCGGTGTCCTTTAGGGTATTCCATCTATCAAACCTGGGGACTACTCTTTCCTGGTATGGGCCCTCATAATGGATGCATATCCAGAACAGCACCCAAAAGAACGATTCAAGATCGTGTATGAAAGAATGTTGCTTGCCGAGAAGCGCCCCGATTGCCATGAAGGCCCTGGTTCCCGTCTTTCCTTTCGCTCCCGAGACACCTTCTCGCTGTTCTTTGATAGCAAGGTCCAGATCGATTAAGAATGAGGGCCAGGATGCGTTATTGCTATCTTCATTAATCATGAGATTGTTGATTGAGATGTCCCTATGAAGGAAGCCGGCCTTGTGTAGAGACTCGTGTCCCTCTATGTAGCCCTCGAGCCCACGAAGTAGAGCTGCTCGAGAGCTTGCCTTGTAGATTGGCTCCCCGAAATCGCGGAGTACCACCCGGCGGTGCACTCGATTCGGCAGAGGACTACCAGCTAGCTTGGCCGGAGAAGCGGAATAGGATCGTTTGCTTGGCGGTAGAGGAGCGTTAGTCTGGCTGGATGACCGTTTCATCCCGGCAGTGCTGTGACCTTTCCGTGGAGTAGCTGTACTCGTATTTCGTGACATTGTAGCGCGTCCAGCTCGGTAATTCTCCGCAGTCGTGACATCTAATCCCTTCCGCACATTGCCTTGAATACCGTCATCCATGCCGCCGACTTGAACAGTCTCGTGGTGATAATATCGGGCCACGTTGATGACACCTCTGTCAGTCGCCTCACGAAGTAGCTCCCCCTCTTCTTCACGTTCCGTGTATTGCCACGAGTCCTTGATGACAAGTGGCGTCTGCGGATCTTCCTTGCGATGGGCTTTCTAGCAAGTCGTCGCCCGGCCGGCTATGTAAGGGGCGCGCTTCATATGCTTGTCAATAATCAAGCGCTCTGTCTCGTCGTCGCGTTTAATTTCGATGTATCGTTCACCACCTAGCGTGATGATGGTAGGGTCGAACCTAAGCTGTTCTTCATTCATCCAGAGAAACCTGAGGATCGTGGACACAAAACGGAGTCTGTCTTTATTGATGTCGAATTGCTCAGACGCGATACCTCCTAGGTGATCAAACTCCCATATCCTCATGAGAGATCCACAGATTGTGAAGCCCAAAACGAAGCGACGAGTGTATTAAGCCGCGAGCACCTCTCTGGCATATCTCCCTAGATCAAGCCATGCTTCCGAAGCTTTGTCGGCGGATGGGTTGCTCTTCAGTTCACCTGGCACGAGGATCTGGGACCAGTGGCATTTTGAGTCTTTCCTAGCCTTCGAGTCGTTTACAAAACCGACGTCCATCTTGCGTTTTGCGATAGAACCATCGATCGGCTCATTAGGCCTCGCTAATGGTCTCCGCTGACGTATGGGGTTTGACTTGTAAGCCTCCGCAAATGTCGACAGCCTTTCACTGAAGCCCGCAAACCAGGTCAGCACATCATCCTGGTTCGCGTCTTTGGGCCATCCTATCTAACCGTCGTCAAAGAATGGATCACCTCCTCCTAAACACTGCTTGAAGAAAGCTTCGGATGCTGTTTCGAGGTCGGCCACAGCACCAAAGTATGTCTGGTCGAAGCCGCGGAGCCCAACATACATAGGGCCGAGCTCCTCCTTGAGCACATCGTCCACGTATTTGCGGTGTTCTGACGAGTTCGCGAAGCTGCTCGTGTTGCGGAGCCACGGGGTCTGTTGGAGAGAAGAAGCTATCGGTCGGGGAGGAGGGGTTGATTCAGTGATAGCGTTGTAGACCTTGTCCCAGATCTTGCTGTCTGGTTTGTTGGCGAGCACGGCATTAAGGAGAGGTCGGATACGGTCAAAGTCGAAATCATCAGCGTTGACGAGAGAGTTGAGTTTCGCTAGGTCGCTGAAGAGATTCTTGCCTCCACCACGGGAGGAGAGGAGGCGAGATGCCCGGAGACCTTGTAGTGCCAAGAGGAGATCGAGAGTTAGATTTTGGAGGTCTACACCATGGTTAGGCAAATACTTCCACAAAAGCTGGTGAGTCCTACCATCTTACGCAAATTGGTCAAGCGCGTCTGGAGTGCAGGATATGCTCTGTTCTTCATAGATTGAGTTGAAGGAAACGTGGAAGGCGTCAAGGCCTTTCCCAATCGGATTGCTGGTGATGATCTCTGACCGACTTTGATCTACCATGGCGGATATGGCAGTTTCAAGAAGCATCGGTTAGATGGGTCTAAAAGGTGTCGCGTTTCGTGGCATTTCTGGCTCAACAAAATTCCCAGCCACCTAGTCAGCCACCTGGTCAGCCACGTTGGAACAACAATGGCGCCGAGGGCTCATGTGTTTATCCGACAGCTGAACTAACCTTAGTTGCATAGCCTAGTACACTCCTGGCTTAGCGCCTCTGGCGAGCTTTGGCGGACCACAGACCAGATAGCCAAGTCTCTGTGGAGTTGGCTTTTTTTTTTTCGAAGACAACAAGCAAGTGCTGGAATCTCCATCTCGACAGCGAAGAGTAGTCTAAGGAGGGAAGCCGATTTGGAGTGAGCGACAAGGGATGTCGGAAATAAAGAGAAGAGGAGGGAATGGAGGAGGAAAAGAATAGAATGGTATCGAGCTTTCGTTGGAAAGAGATGGACTTTGAAGGCGATGGAGAACAAAAGCAGCGGCCAACACTACTTTGAAGCTCGATTTACGACAGATGAGCACCAGATACGAGACAAGAAGCCCGAAACAAGCCCTCCTCCGGCAGTATGGGATACAAAGGTTGCCTTGATGTGGAAAGGAAAACTCCTTGTAAGTGAGGAGAATGAGGACGAGAGTGATGGACAGAGATGGGATCAAGGGAGACTCAGTGGTCTCCTATATGGCTATATGCGACATGGACTTGAGGTTTGCCTGCGGCGGTAGACAGTCCCACGTCATTTACTCGGACTACGCATCTGCCTATGGAAGAGGTATCATGCGGCGGATGACGCAACGAATCCGGCTTCAGGGGTACAGTTATGCCTGTATCCATGCGAGAGGGGCTATAGCGAAGCATAGACAACTAGGTCCACAAACGAGGTTCCTTTTGCCATAGACCGAGCATGGGAGCCTGGCATGATATGCTTTAGATTTGCATCCGTCTCGTGTCTGGAGGTATACCTCGACTATTGAAATACCTGCTCGGTCTACCCCGAAGCCAAGCGGCCTTATCTCGGACTGCTCTGCGTCCCTCGCCTTCCTTATCCTCAGGGCCCTGCCTTAACAAGCAAAAGTCCCACCCGGAGACCTTGCTTGCCTGGACATGGCTCTTTTGAGGATTCCAAGCATGAATCAGCCTAACTCAGCCAATCTGGGCATGGCTCCTGAAACCGGCATTGTGATCTCGCTTGCGATGGAGGTTATACCAGAGGACCTTATCCTACGTCGGCAGGGCCTCCTGGCTTCCTGCTTGTTCCTCCGGTGTGGCCGGCCAATCCCACATGCAGGCAAGGCAGACTTGAAGAAGCCGGAATCAGGATGTATGGGTGAAGGCCAGAGCGGCGTGGCAAGGTGATGTGTAGGCACCGCCAAGGGATTGAGCCCTCCCCCCTTTAAGGCGCATGGATCTGAGACCCTGTTCGGCATCATCTCGTGGCCCTATTCATCACCTTGAGTCATGGATGATGGATTGATATCCTATCGAGAGCCTGTCTTCATGCATATAGGTGGATTCCGAAGACTGTGAGCGCTTTGGTCCTAGGCGAACTACAAGGCGAATCAACTGTATCATGACCCTCACGCCATGTCTCTTAGTATCCGGACCTCGTCATCCACGCTCGTCCTCCTAATTTCCGGGTTTCTTGGTCGCCTCGCAGCCAGATATGCCACCGCTGGAGTGCCTCCTGTCATGCCGGCGAATCCAGATCGAGGGCTATACCTTCTCGGTCTACATCAATCCCTCCTGAGAACATAAATACGTCCGGCTCTTGAGACAGATGTGGATGCTGGATTTCCGATTAGCCATCGCTTAGACACTCATTTCTAGGCATCATTCATACGCATCCCGAACTTCGCCACTCCATGGCTTCTTTCTTAGATTAGCTGACGTACCACTTCTCTCGTTTTCATCGAGGACCAATGTGTCCACCATGACGCATTCATACGCTATGTCAATTCCCAAGCAGCCAGCTGAGACGGGCGTTTTTGTGAGCTTGCATTGTGTCAACACGGCAGAAGAAGCATCTAATCAGGACCAGGTTAGGCAACCTCGACTCCGCCGTCTCCTCTTTCCTACTTCGTGTGAACAGACCCACCAGACTCAGCTGTCGTCACCACACCTTGCTGGAGGAATTAACCAATGATCGCAGGAGGTTTACCCTTCTCTCAACATTCATGACGCTGGAATGCTGATGGTAAAAAGATCAGACCTGTCGTAGACGTTGCGACTGGTAGAACCAGCAGACCCAATAGGGTAGTAGATGATTGGCAAGCCTCGCCGCATGTAGAGGAGGAAGCGGCAGCCGAAAAGAACACCCCTGCATGGCTGTTTCCATTTTTGGTAAGTGGCAAGTTTAGCCGGGGTGGCCAAAAACGAGGCTCCCGGGCTGTGTCGCAACTCCACACCAGGCTCACCACGACTCAGGTTAAAGCAGCAACAGCTCAGGAACTTGGACGATGAAGGAAATCCTCGAAGTCCAGGTTGAGGTGTCATACTTAGCTGTTATAACGAGGCTGAACTTGTGATCAGATTAGCGATATGAGTACTGTTAGGTGTGCTGAAAAGGCCTAGTCGAATCCCTAGCTTTGGTGATGGCTAATGCTGGATCTATATAGCCTTTGTGTTACAGTACAGTAATTAACTATACCGTTACTTTAAAAATTGCTAGCTGTTTCTTATTGGTTTGCTCTGCTTGCTGGTTCAGTTCCTGGTTAACGAAGTAGCGGTAATTTGGGGGCGATCTATGACGAGGACGACACAGGTCGGCTCCTTGCCGAAACCCCCAGACCTCTTTGACTGATATTGTAGATCCATATGGAAATAGTGGGAGCAATACAACTCGTGACTGGAGATATCTACAACCATTGTCATCAGCGGGGCCAGAGGCAGCCGAGAGCCGTGCAAAAGGGGCGATTGACACTTTTCTCCACCCACCCACCCAAGAAGTATCTATATAAATTTTGGATCAGCTGTCCCTTGTGTTTCAAAGACTGCTCAATTGGGAAGACATCAGGTACGCAGGACGGTTTATATCTCACTAGAACTCCACTCCTGCCGGCTACACACTTTGCTACATTTGGTCCAGGTGGCACTATACTGTGGAAGGCTGTACTTATTATCCATTACCAAGATTAATCTTGCTTCCGGCCACCTAAGTCTCGACAAATGCCTCGAGCACTTCAGTATCGGTAGATCCTAATAGACCATAAAGTGTACAACAGTGGCGCCGGTACCAGAGATGGTCGGGTACCGCTATCGTATGCTACCAAAGGGGGCCATGAGTCGGTCGTGCAGCTCCTGCTTGAGAAGGATGACTACGGTCGAACGCCACTGTCATATGCCGCCGAGAGAGGCGCCGAACCCAGACCGTTGGGGTTATAGCTCACGTAGGTTGATGATTGGATGCATCCTCTCAAGTCTCAGCGGCGTTTTCAAGAGTGATATCGCCATTGGTTCAACCATCCTGAGTCTTTTACCAAGTATCATGGTTGTTGCCGCGGCACAGCCTGAAGAGTTTGTGCGGATCTCCTCACAGGGGTATCTGAACTACTACTTTCAGTATCGGGATATCTCCGAGTATTTTCAAGGGGTTGTCGCCTCCGAACCGCACGCCTAGTGACGCTGTTAAAAAGACCTAGGTCGTTCATATAGCATATTTCACTCGCCAATCGTCCTGGAGACACCTCATATCGAAAATTCTCGGTGACATCTGCTGTTCTAGTACAGTGGCTTTGGGAGTCCCCAATTATGGTGTTATATGGCCCTTGAGCAGTATCTTCTGGGTTGCCATAGCTGTCTCGATCCTTTACGCCATGGCTAGCGATATAAGCTTTCAAGCATGGGACATACGACATTCGTTGTACATGGCGGGAGGTGATCCTGTTACCTCTGATACACCACAACTGGTTCAGCTGGATCAGGAAACCATCCTTTAGGGACAAAGCAACCGTTACGTCCATGACCTGTCTGCCAGATACCACCGAATACGCCATTCGTATAGTCATCCGAATGCCTGACAATTCGACCGTAGTTAACTGGCAGACGTACTTTTTCATTATCGAACTTTACGCCATTGCGATATACTATTATGTAACATTCGTTCTTCTTAGTGCATTATTTATTGGTGGTGTAGGTAGCGTAAGGTTTGCTGGCATGATTGCTGGGCTCTATGTTACAGTGAGGTTTGTGGAGTCTGTGTTCTGATTTGAAGAAATGAAAGACCTATTACTATATCTCGACTCCAAGACTCTATGCAGAAATAAAACTAGGATACTATATTCAGTATGTCTACATGAGTTTGGTTGATATATCTTGTGGAGATAGCTAAGCTCGAAGGTATTAATCAATCTACATATGAATAGCATCTCTACAGCTCTTCTTCATTTGACCTTTGTTACTCAATATTAATCCTGGGGCAGCAGGTATTGAGAAGAATCGAGATTATATTCCATGTTTGTCGTCAGTTAAGGCAATAAGTTTCCTTCCTTTCGTGATTTAGGGATATAGAAGGATTAAGCACAGAACTTTCATGCATCCTTGCACTTATCGCACATCGATGAAAGCATAAAGGGGACCGAATTTTGTTTGAGCAAGGAGGTAGAACGCGTCCCCGAAACCAGCAGAATTAATTGACATGTCAGATGTGACGAGTGGTTAAATGGAACCATTTGATTTTATGGTAGAATTCATCGGAAGTGGACGCGCTGAGACACGGCCCAGATGCACACGTAGTCAAAAAGGCTAGCGCAGAGGCAAAGAGTAAGCTGAACTAAGATCAATATCGATATTAAACACTCTTAAACCTGCCGATGCTGATCACATTATTTTTTTGTGATTCTTTATTGATTTCTTTTGTGTATCCCCTGTTTTGAGCTCATGTGTGTCTTGAATGGTGACCCAGTGGTTTAACCTGTTTCTTCCAAACATGCATAACACCCTGGAAGCGCTCAACACACAAATATGTAAACAATATCAGAGCGGGCGGGCGGGAAGCGCCGTGCCGCGTTGCTTTATTAGAGACTATTAGGGTCTGTGCTGGTGACGACGGCTGAGCTTTCTGATGTACCAAATTCGTGCATTGTATGCCATGTTTGTTTAGCTAGAACAGGTTTCAGCTAGCCACTGTGTCTGTCATTTCCATCAATAGTATAGAAATCTATAGTCTTTCTTATTTGAAGGCTCGGCTTCTGCACAGTATATCACATTCCCGTGTTGTGATTTTCTATCACTTCCGAGTATAACCTTTCTAGCCAATCCCACAATCCTGCCAGCCAGCAAGGTTGCGAAGTCTGTGTTAAACGCGAAGGCCGACGTAGTTTCTTATGTGTGCTGCATCTTGGAATCCATGTGATATCTGAAATTTTCATGCATGAGTGGGTATAATTACGTGCTTATTTTGTCATGCAAGGTCCATCAGATTGGCAAAAGATGATCTGCCATTCGAATCAAGAATTATCAGCTGGGAGGTCAAGATCAGCAGCATTCGCATGGCACCCTATCAAGGCAGCGCGGTCAAGTGTATGGCATCTATATACATGCGCATGAAAAGATTTATCTGGAAAGATACAGTGAAATCGTGTTGCATGGCTAGAGAAGGGCGTGAAACAGCATCTCAATAACTTATAAAGATCATTCGCCTTTTAACATTGGGTAACTGTTGAAGTCGATGGCCCCAAGTCGCTACATGAGACACGGGTCCTCTATAGAGCAGAGGAGAACCCTCTGCAAGTTGTTCTAGCCAAGAGTCAACCTATACATGCAAAGCTCTTGAAGAGGTAGGGATGAACGATGCATACAGCTGAACCCAAGCACGCCAAGAACTTTTGATTATTTATGACACCATGTTGACGTCTAACTTTGGTAGCGGAGGACGTCGCATGGTGTCTCTGAGTTATATCAAAGACTGGGAAAACGTGCATATAAAGCCGACATAACGCCCGTTAAACTTGCCTTTTTCGTATCAAGCAGCAATCTCAATCTTCTACAACATATTTTCTCCAATCTCATCATCATGGTTGAACTTAACGAAAAGATCTGGATCAAGTATGCCCAGGGCATTCAATCATGGTCCGGTAAGGATGGCAAGCCCGATCCCAACGCCATCTACTTTATTGCGTCAGCTGTCAATAAGGGCCCTGCTGCTGGAAGCTTTGTGCCTATTGAAAATATGAACAACGTTCTCTTTGAGCAGTGCGATGCTCTCATTGCAGACACCAGCCCCGTCTACAATCCTGGAAATGCCGGCAGCTACTTTGACTGTGTTGATAAGTAAGTTAAGTCAGATTGGAAACCGCAAGATAATTCTCTAACATTCCTTAGGTACATAAGCGCCGTCAAGATAGTAGGTCATCCTTATTTTGGCTTCGGAGCGCATGCAACACTAACATGACATTACAGAAGGGAAATGAGGATCAAGGATTGAAACAGCAACTGAAAGACGTCAAAGAGGAGTTGAAGAATGTCAAGAAAGAATTCCGGGAAATGCAAAAGGAGGAAACGAAAAATTGGGAGGAGGATCCACACTCTGGTGCAAAAGCCAAGGTTGCCTTCGGGACTTGGGTCAGTAGCAATGCGCCCGACTTGCTGCAACTTCAAAACGAGGTGCAAATTCTGGCAGGCAAGCAGGCACAGATCCAGTTGCAGATTGGGGGTGAAGGTGCAGCCAAGCTCAGCAATCAACAGAATACCTTGATCCAAGCCGGTACTAGAGCCACATATGTCCCAGGGTTAGTTATATATTTTCCAGCCATGGCCCTTGCTAACCGTCTTCTAGTGTCACCATGCAGTCCACTCTTGACCAGATTAGCCCCGCAGATTACGAGAAATACTACAAAGCTACACAGGATGGAACTGTGGGCAAGCTTCCCCCTCTACAAGTCACTGGTGCTTTCAATCGGCCGGCTTACAGCATCGAACCTACATTCGAGACTACCATGGACCAGTGGGCGAGGGTTCCTCTTGACGCAAAGGATGAATTCGAATACTCCATCAAATCTGAGGAGCTCACGGAGACGTCCTGGACCAAGCTTGGCCATAAGAATGGGGGTGTTTCGTTTGGCTGGGGATTCCTTCGTATTCAGGTAGGAGGCAGTAAGGAATGGAAGGAATCGGAAATCGTAAAGAAGTCAGGCTCGTTTGAGATTCAACTCAGCGCGCAGCGAGCCGGCCTCTTCAACGTCAACCCTGGTATCTGGTACGTGTATGAAGCGCCGTCGAAAAAGTCCCTACTAATAATGTTGTCAGGAACGTGAAGCGATTTCGCCAAGTATATCCAAATGTTGACGTAGACACGGGCATGGCAAAGAATGCTGTACAGCCTACGCAGCTTTTCTGCGCCTCTCGCGTCAAGATCAAGGTCAAGTTCACAGGAGAGATGGAGAAGGAGTTTGACAAGGTTGTCGAGGACACCAAGGGTGGCAAAGCGGGATTCTCGTTCCTTGGATTCAAGATTGGCGCTGGTGGTGGCACCAGGGACAGGGAGACAACGCATACTTCTAAGCTTCAGAAGGAAGATGGTTGGTACAAGATGGAGCCTACCCTTGTCGCTGGAGGGTGCTCGATGCTGGCTGTTATTGGAAACAAGTTGAATGAGCAGTAAATCGTCGAGTTACTGTATTGCTAGGGGGCTGGTTTGAGACAATTCACTCGTTTAGGAATAGATAGGTCATATCGGCACCACTCATTTGACTGCTGTAGTAATACCTCACCTTCGTTTCAAGCCGCGTGGATCACTAAAACTGGAACCTTGTGAGAGAATGTAGACTGTGTGACTGGTCATTGCATTAGTCTGCAAGCTAAAAGAGCCTAACGAACAGCCAAGACTGCCACATGTCTTGTGTGTCCAGCACAGTTGGTTATGCCATTGGGGTATTTATAAGCCAAGTCTGCTGCCTCGATGTCTTTATTCTCTTCATATCCCTCATCTATCACTATTTGAACAGTTATGGCTGGGATCCCAAAGTGGCTACAGCCACTCCTACGTGCAGGCGTCCTAGAGGATGTCTCAAGCCTCAGACCAGTGCCTTATTCCTATACAAGTGCCAACACCAAAAGATCGATAAGTATTTCCTCGAGTCTCGTCCCAATATCATCACAGCCGCCATCAAAATCACTGATCAAGGTCAAACGGTCACCCCTCATCAAAGCATACGCTCATAGCATTCGGGGCTTGTTGACACCAGAGAGTGACCTGGATACAGCGAACCAAGCGCTGTTCATTGCAAGCCCGCTACATAAGGGGATTCCTTTGGGCGTCAAAGATGAGTTCATGAATGAATCCATTTACGAACATGGAAATGCGGTTCAGCCACCATTATCTCCTATTTACAGGTCTGACCACGGTGACTACTTCGGTTGGCTAAACAAGTTAGTTCTTGTCCGACTTTGTCTCTCAGTTGGTTTTGATGCTAATCAATTGATTAGATATGTCAGCAATGTTGAAGATGTAAGTCTCCAGACCATGAGTCCAGTATCATTATTTAACACTCCTCGCTAGGTGTTCGCATCTGACACTGAAGCGTCTGATAAAGAGGGTGCATACTTACGGGCTAAACGGGATGCTAATGATGAATACGAAAAGGCAGTCGCGAGATTTGAAAAGATTCAGAAATTGGACCCAACTGTCAAGTTTCAGGATTGGATGAATCAGTACGCGACGGACTATGTTGAAGCGTCTAGGATTCGCGACACGCTTGCTGGTAAACTGCGCCATTCCTCAGTGAAGCTCGCTAAAGAAATGTTTGATGACGCTCAAGCACGTTTGGAACCAAAGCAGGGGCAAGGCAGTTTTCTGGTGATAGCGACTTGCTGACTAACTAACTGCTGAATCCAGTAACAACATGCCTTGCGCAGTCTCAGATGTCGATATCTTGAATGAACGCGCAACTCAGCAAGCAGACATAGTCTATAGGCCTCGCTATTACCTTTCGGGGTACCGGAGCACTGCAAAGAGATGGCGCGACGAGTATTACGATAAATCTTCCGCACCTGAGCAACGTCATATTTCATTTGAGGATCTAAAGAACAAGACTTGGGCACAGCTAGGCATAATCGAGCCGGATGGTGCCAACGACATGGACGGTACGCCTGAGATGGACTTCCAAGTCACATTGACATACACTGGAATGGGGGTCTTTGATGTCAAGAGAGGTCTTTGGTAATGTGGACTCGTGTTTTAGCTGTGGCTTCTATGCTAACAAGCAACAGGGACATTAACGACTTTCGCACATTGCTGCCACAATTGGCATCTACAGCACCACCAGATTGTCATCAGCCTCTTTACAAGACAAACAAATTGTTATTGGCATATGGAGTTAACCTCATTGTCAAATTACCGCAGGTCATGGATCAGGATGTGGCTAGTAGACTTAGACTAATGCCTGGTTTGATGGATGACTTGCCGTTGACGTTGGTTAACGGAAATGAGTTACATGCTCAGCCGCAGACTAATGACGCTTATCCAGTCTTGAGTGCGGCTGCGTGGAGGGACGCGCATGCGAAATAGGCCACTTTAGAATGCCATCGAAGGGTGCCAGACATGTCGGGCGGCGACGAAGCGGGGCCTAATTGAGAAATACCCTGGATCGGGGCGAATCACTCGTGCGATAGCTTCATACACGAAGCCATTCAGATTGATGCTGAAGACGAAGTCAGGAGAGGGGTTGCTACGTTAGGGGAGCAAATTTATGGGTTTTAGCACAACCCAGCCCCAGGCACAAACTCGGTCACAGTCAGCCGGCGCCGCAGGGAAATTACCTGACAGGATATCGGCTGACTCCGGGCTCGAGGCTCTTCCTACTACCAACTGCAGTTTTCTTTCTATTTCTCGCAAGTCACTTCGCTTCTACATAAAAGGCGGTGCTCTAAACAACCGTAGACCTCACGAGCGGTATCAAATATTACGGTGTATGTGTCGGTTACACCTCTCGTAGACCGCTATCGCCAGCTTGTGCTCCGCCTGGGGCAGCTACGCTTGCAGGCAGGCAGTTACCCCGCACTAGTACTGATACGGGTTTTGCGGTTTGCGCAACAGTCGATCCCAAAAACATGGTGCTTAGTGTCCACCGAGAAATAGGACGGATTACAGAAACTTTTTTCCATGCCCAGAAAGTGCCAAGGTACGACTTGAAATGAGCTGCAACCCGTCTTTAACCGAACATGATGTATGGCGAATGGACTGAAGGGGCACGGTAGTGCTGGAAACCTTAAGTGTGTTCGATGCGCCACGTGGTTGACGCGTCGCGCCTGTCTTGATCGCTGCAAAATATGTTGTATTTATTCACGCGGTGTCACGAAGTTATCTGCTAAATGTAAGATATAATGTTATCCGCCCGTTAACTTTGTCAACTCCTTCAGGGCTTCGTGAAGCATGCACTTCACGCGATAGTACAACCCTATGTCCTCTCTCTTCCATCTCCTACCACTCGGGAATACTGTCTTCCGTACAATCTGTTGACCCAAGGTACCAATGGCTGGTAATATGCTGTGAAGTTCTCCTCTGCAATTCTGAGGATGTCTCCCTCATGGGATATTTGCCCCTTCTCTAGCTCCGCAGAGACTCGTGTCCCTCAATGCAGCCCTCGAGCTCACGGAGCAGAGCCGCTGGAGAAGTATCGGTCTGGTTTGATGATCGCTTCACGCCGACGGTGCTGCGGCCTTTTCGTGGAGTAGCAACTAAACCTTTGTTTCGTGGCACTACCGAGCGTCTATCTCGGTAATCCTCTGCAGTTGGAAGATCTAATCCCTTCCACACATCGCTCTGAATATCGTCGGCTGTGGGTTTCATCCCTGGCCGAGTGGCTGGAATTAGTTACCCCTTGGGACGTCCCCTTAGTCGAGCCTCCTGAGAGCCCGTGTCTAGGTCTGCTCTGGTTGCCTACTAGATTGAATGATGCTCCTTGAACTCGTTGAAGCCATGACACCTGTCTGCTATGGTCAACTGTTAGGTTAAGACAGGCACCCCTCTCCTTTTCGTTTTGGAGGTGTAACGATAAATCTAGTGCCTTTAACAACCACATGAGAGTACAATGCTAACAACCCGCGAGTAGCTCATTGACTGCCTGCTTCAGTGCCACCTCACCACACCCACTGGGTGAAAATGCAAGTGTATCAGTGAGTCATAATCAAGGCTGGTCACGCACTTGTGACGGGTCCATCACAACTCAGTTTCCTGCCTGTTACCGTCTCTTCAGTCAAGCAAGCGTTGCCACATATCTGTGCAAAACATCCCGGCACATTGGTGAAGGTTGCATCGATATAGCAGTACTGACCGTTGTGAAGGGGGTGTCCAAAGGACCTATCGGGGGATAGAGTATCTTAATAAGTGACGGCCGTTGTAAGGCTGGTTGCAGTATAGCAGTGAAATACATTTAAAGCGTTACTACCAACACGTTGAGGAAAGTTCATCGGTCAACTACTGACCTGAACTCCAGCCTGCGCGCTACGCTCTTCGCACCGCACTTGACCTGTGTGTTTTATCGATGGCTACTTCGGTTGAGAGTCTACTGGCGCAGCACCCCACCAACCCCGTCAACAATCCCCTGTACCAATCGAGAACTAACAAGACATGGGCACATGAGTATGCACCTATCACCAAAGTCACCGTGCACACAAGTGGGCCAGATGGGGCAGTTATAGCTAATTTTGATGGTCCGTTTATGGAAGAATTTGCCGATGACGTCCAGCGGATGAGCGAGATTGGCTATCCTCCCAATGATAGAAACTGGCGTTTAGAGCAGGAGGAGGATGGCGTTACTTGGTTTCACGCTGAAGTTTCGAATATAGTCCTCGCTGCATGGTCTCGATTCCCCTCTGTCCTTCAGACGTCCCAGACGAAGCCCTTGAACGACAAGAATGTTAAGAAGGCTGTCGATCTCACATATTCATTCAGACATGATCGTCTATATATGCCTCTAGTCGTTGGGGAGATAAAGAGAAACCTCATTGTCTAAGACGAGTGGCAAGGGGGGAAAATCATACAACCTAATTAAAGACTACTATCTTAAGAGTTATAAGGGTATAAAATCTGGTTATAAATGAAAAGACTTACTAAATAGTTAGAATAGATATGCCTACGAATACGATTGTCTATAAGTGTTCTATTTTGATTATGAATATCTTCTAATATTCTAATTTTAGGCAAATGAGAAGAGTAATATAAAGAAACCTAACTATAAGATTGACTGTTGGATCCTTCTTTGACAAAATGATGGAGGCTATACTCTTTAATATACATTCTATCAGCTCTTGGTTTAAAGGTTTTAAAGATGTTAGAGTATATAGGCCCTTAACATTCTTATTAAAGGGTTGAAGCTAACTTATCGTCAGTTCTATTCTAGTAGGCCACTATGGAAGATTGAGGGTAAATATTATATCAAACCTTAGGATTATTATCGTATCATAGACCCTAAAATAGGTACCTTTTATTGAATATATAATGATAATCCTATTATAATTAATAGCTAGGAGCTTTAGGATATAGCAAGACTTTGGCAAGTTTAACCTACAGTGCTAACTAAATCATAGGGAGGGCCTATAGATGAGGATAAGATCTATATAGCTGATTAGATTTTGACATTTTCTATTTAGTAAGACTAGCTA